AGTACCCTATTTGGGTATATATTTTCTTAGTTTTAAGAAGATTATTATATTCGGCTGCACGGCAGAGACTGGTCGACTTTTTCGCGTTCCAGCTGCTTGGTTGTAAAAAGAATAAAAAGTAAAGTAAAAGTGTCGATTGTAGTCATCTGAATGAAACGAAAATGAAGTACACCTACTTGCGAAAACGTTGTCATAAAAAAATAGGACATTTGTATTTTAGTAAAAAGAAATAAATTAAAAAGACAAAAAAAGATTACTGAGGCTGAACGCTTTCTTTTGTTTTGTTTTAATTTATTCCTTTTTGCTAAATTCGAATGTTCTATTTTCTATGACAACGTTTCTGCAAGTAGGTGTATACAGCTATTTTTAGAAAACGTCGAATGCTGAATTCATGCATTGTTCGTGATAGTCCAATCGCTGTTCAGAAGAATATTTCAGTGGTTTCAGAGTGATTATTTCGGGTCAGTGCAAACGAAAGCTTTCGAAACCATATACTGACTATAATATTGATATAAAATATTCTGGTGCAAAATTTAAGATACAGTTATAGTCCACTACATACAATATATTATATCATTCAATACCACAGTTTAAAAGGGGCTAGCCATTTTTAGTTTTTTGAGGCAGGGGTTGGATGATTTTAAAACTAATAACTTTACTGAAAAGCGAAATTTCCACTAGAAATTTGTGAATAATAAGTAATGTTGACAAAGGTTATGATTACGAGCTTAATCAGTCTGAGATCGATCTTTCAAATTGAATTATTTTTTGATGATTTCAATACGAATTTTTTTTAGTACATAATTAAAGAATGTACGTACTGTCTTTTTTTAACAGTGGAATTCCTAGACAAATATCCGAATCATATCACCTCGATCATCCATGAAAAGTGAAAAATGTTGCCATGTGATGTGACTATTCACGAGAAATGTACTTTTAGTTTTACAAAATCATAATCAATTTTTATAGAATTATTATCAAATTAGCTTTTCATAAACGCCTTTAATGTACTTCCTGTAGGATATACCGTAATGAGGAGGCAAACTGCTACTATATGTGATATCCGATATTTATTTACTTATTAAACACTCTGACAGTCGATATATATCCATCAAGTTAAACGGTATTATTATGGCAGGAGGTCATTAAAAGATAGGATCAAATTGAGCTGCTTGAGCGGAGATTTCTCTATAACCATCAAATTTTATAAACAGTTTTCAGTGTACAACTCGTTGTGCTGGTAAGGTCTATTATGTCTTTCATTCAATTGCACAAAACAAATACAAATAAAAAATAATAAAAAATAATAGTTACACGCTCACTCTGAAAACCTGCGTGCTCTAATGAAAAAATAAGCAATATTATTTAAGATAAAGAATCGATACATTGACGACCTGCACTTGAAAATTACTCAAACATATATAATACTGATGGATATTATAATGCTCATTTTTGTAATCAAGTTACCTGAGAGCAGACCTATAGCCCATATCGTCATGCATACGGTATAAACCAGCATCATGTCATAGAAATAATAGCGATTTCTAATATGAGTTCAGTTCAGCATGGTTATATAGATAGATAGATAT